TTAGTGATCTCACGCCAAGATCCATGGAAGATGCGTGTTGCTTTCAGGCAAAAGTGGTGCATATTGCGAATCAATTTCTGCATACGCCAATAAGCCAGAAATTTCGCCTGAAGGCTGAACACTATGCGGCGATCAGAGAGTTAAAAGCAATGACACACATAACCTTCTTACGGCCGGATAAAAGATCAGACATTGTAATAATGTACATGGCTGACTAAGTATCAAAAATGGAGTCTATTCTGGGTGATAGATATAAGTTCCGGAGACACGACACCGGAGAATAACATCTTGGTGGAGAAGCGGTACCAAGAAAACAGATACTCTTGCTACATGGACACATCACTGAGTCGCAGTACAGTCAACTGAAACCGACTGGGAAGCAGACACCAAGCATGAAGGGCGAGCTCAAGTTGCACAAACCAGGAACCCCTTTGCGTCTGATTAGGCGCATGAACTACTCGACTTATCATAATTTTGCACGGTGACTGGCGAAACTCTTAGGCCCACTGCTTGAATTCATGACTACGAACCGCCTGAATGACCCTATTGAACTGATGGAGACGCTAGAACAATAATCACTTTGCTCGGAGTTCTTGTACTCTATAGATTTGTACTCACTATTCACAAACGTGTCCCTTCATAGAAAAGTTGACGATTTGTGTCATTTCATTCTGAGCCAAACCGCGCTAGTGAGCCTCCCTTTGGAATATTTGAGCGAGATGATTCCATTCTGCACAGAGAATATACGCTTTGAGTTTAATGGAAAGGCACACAAGCAAACCGACGGCGTTGTCATGGGCAACCCATTGGGACCGGTTTTTTACAGATATCTTTCATGGCTTAATTGAAAGACAAGTTGCTGCCAGTATTGGTGAGGCGAAAGAGTACAAACGGTACGTGGAGGACATTTTGGTACTCATCAGCAGCGAACATTTTGCACGACTTTTAACCATTTGAATGCATTCACCGCAACTTATCGGTATCTGACAAGCAAGAACAACATGGCTGCCTGCCATTTTTGGATATCTACATCGAAGAACGGGGTGGAGGTACACTGCAGCGCACCGTTTACCTCAAGGCGACTTGATGTAGGCAGTAAGTGCAATATTCCAATTTCGCCCCGGTTGCATACAAAGGCAACCCAGTGAAAACGCTCTTCTACAGGGCTAGACTACTTTGTACTAAGGGATTGCTAGAAGCTGAAGAAATGTTTCTGTATAGAAACTTGGCATCGAATGGTAATCCCGAAAAATTTATCCAAGTGTACAGAGGACCCCAAGAAGAAACTGCCGGTGAAAACGACAGAGAAAAATGATGTCTATTTGGTTCTGCCGTTCAAGGGCGACCGTGTAGAAAATTCTATCGAACACAAGCTCAGGTCCACCCTAAATCGCACAAACACGACTGCCCAGTTGCGCCTCATGCACCCTACCAGGAATCTGGTTCTTCAAGACCCTCAGAGCTACCCTTCAGCTAGTTAGGCCTCTCATGTGGTTTAGCAGTTCCCTTGCAGTGGCGGTGATGTTTATACAGGAACAGGAACTCTTGAGGCGATCAATCAGATAGCTTTTGTCTCGATTTTGACAGTTTAATTGGGTTGCCAATATTTTTATGTTTATCCATTTGTCTGTGTTTCTGCTTGTATTGTGTTTGCGACTGGGGAGAAAAATCGAAATGTTGACCTATCGCAATCTATCTCTTCTTTATGATTTGACGAAGTGGATGAAGGGGATCAATTGTTTTACGTTTTAATTTTCCGTTGCTACATCAGTCAGCCTTTTGTGTGTGCGTCGCTAACCTTTTCAAAAAATTTCGACATTATGCGAGTCCCACGTATTCCTAGCTGCGGAGTTTGAGTCACTCAAATGCACCCGTGCCGATTGTACCGTTTGACCCTTCCGGGAAGTCAGCTTTAGGTTTCCTTCCTTTAGTTCTTTTCAGTTTGCCTCTGAAGTCCTTTCATTAGAGGCGCAGCCATCACCTGTGGCTGATCGGACCGATGCTGTCACAACATTTTGCACTCTGAATTTGCAAACGCATACTGCGACATGCAGCGTTGCACCCAGACAAATCTGTTTGCATACATAGCGTCTGAGTCAGACCCAAAGAGAGTTATATCGTCCGAGTACATAAGGTTTGTTAGTTGATCACCTGATAAAACTTCAAGTACCTTCAAGTACTTCAAGTACTTCAGATGCAGCAGAGTGCAATCCATCACTGTCACTAAGCCGCTTGGGGCACTGTGTAGGGAGGTGCTCATAGCTAGCTCCTATGTGTAGCGAAAACAGCGTATTATGACAATTGGATGCATTAAAATATGACGAGCTTTAGACCAACTATTGAGGTCATTCCGATGAATTTGCGAAATCAGAAAGCAATCGCCGTTACGATGGTTGACACGCAGGACGATGTCGTCGGCAGCTTCTGCGGGAGCTATTATTGCGCAGATGTGTAGGTTCATGTTGACGTAGTGTTCTTCACAATATATTGATTAATTTCGTGCAATGGATTCATCCACATAATTTTGTTCCTAATCTGACCCTGGAGTGTCCAAGTATTGTGACAACTTGGTTGGCTATCTAGGTCTCTGTTTTGACAGCTACTGTCCTTAAAACCTCGCAAGATCCACAAGGAAAGGAATTCCTCCCACAAGTGAAGAAGCCAGGTGGAATTAAGGAGAGAGCGTTTAATGAAAAAGACAGCATCTCAGTGAAGTCTCTCATCATTCGTACCAAGGAAGAGCTACGCCGTCTGAACCAAGTATATATCCAGTCTATTCTGGGGAACAGTACGAAGAGAAGGGTCAAAAACATGTCGACTTGACGCTTTCCTCCCAAACTTTTATACGACGAGCTACCTATTTTGTAATTGTTTCTATCAATACCAAAATTACTTTTATATAATAGGTAAAAGGAATGTAATATTTAATTGTAAAGTTTGAAGATTAATAACTGAATAATATACGTAAAACAAACTAAGTAAGCTACCTAACGTTTCAAAGAGGTAGCCATCATTTATGTAAGCGCAACTAACCCTGCAAACTGCTAATTCTGTATTATGTGGGATCAACCTAAAGAAAACATGAAATACATCCGAATTATTTGCATACAACCGTCTAAATACAAGCGCCAACATTAAGCTGTATTATGAAGGCTTTACTCGAATGATGCGACGGAGGTTGTAAAGTAAACCAAAAAGAAAACGTTATCTTATACTGACAGAATTCGTCAGTAGACAGTGAAATCCCGGTGCATCTGCGTTAATAAATTAGCGAAGAACTAACTGCTATTTAATAGCCTACCTGCTTCATCAGCTACGGTCCTAGTGATCGAATGGCCAAGGTTCACTTCAATGGGAATCGCGGTCCACTTTGAGATTGCGCGTCGCAATCCATCCACACAACGTGTACTTCAAATTGCCTTTCCAATCTGTCATTAACCGTTGTGCCAAGCTTTGCCCGTCGTGACCCGGTGGCTTAGGGGTAGCGGTCACAACTAACATCCCAATGGTCCCGGGCTCGATGCCTGCTATCTCTATGTGATGATAGGAAATAACCTCGAATAGCGTCATGGAGTGCAGTGTTTTCAGGCGGGTAACACCCAATTTGCTGCTGCTTCATCAGCTACGGTCCTAGTGATCGAATGGCCAAGGTTCACTTCAATTGGAATCGCGGTCCACTTTGAGATTGCGTGTCGCAATCCTTCCACGCAACGTGTACTTCAAATTGACTTTCCAAATCAGTAGGTAATTGTTTGATTTATTCACCATATATTTAGGGTACTCGTCCGATAATGAACAATTGGAACTTATTGAATGCCTCAGATGTATGTTCTGTATGAGTCACCGAGATTATTTTATATGAAGATAAGTGCCACTTGGATGTATGTATGCAAAGTTTGTGTAGCACCACATCACAGGATTCCCGACCGCTGTAACATTTAGCGTAAATTAGTGCTGAATGGATATAAGACCATCGGAGCAGTGCGGCCGATCCTTCTAATTAAACGCACTCGCCCAAGACTAATCACCAGCAAATTGGATTTCCACCTCGCAATATAGCAACAGGTTGCTATGGGGGCACATCCTAGTGGCCGCATATTTACACAGGTGTTAACACCAATGTACAAATTAATTTTAGCAAAGAGTTTGCTTGAAAAATCAATGGCATCAACTTATGACCCACTGTCTACATAAAAGCACAGATTTGCCATGCCACTTAGTTAGCAATTCGTCACCCTGAACTGTAGCTGATTTTCGGATAAACACCAATGAGTCCTCTTGGGATATCTCAATTAAGCGGCGTAATCGTCCACCGACTTGATGTTGAACAGGATTGCCTTCAGCTGCGTCTGGGCTATAATGACCACGTGTTAAAAATGAACAGGAAAGGACATTTTAAGGACACCATAAGAATACCTACGAAATATTTCACTTTGCTGTTTATGCCAACAACCGCAAGCAAACTGATTTTATTGATCAAATAATCGATTTCCCCATTGAAAATATGTTCCATAAAATTGTTTTTAAAGTCAACGGTGCAGATTTCACAATACATGATACACTTGGCAAGCATATTCTTCATGGTGAACCATTAAGCGGACACGTAGCATGGGTCGATCGTGGCTGCTGATACAGTTTTTGACACATTTGCAGATAAACAATGCGATGACATAAGTATAAAATTGACGCTCCTCGCTTGCGTAGAATAGATCCAAACGAATATGCAGACTACAATTTGTGCGGTGATTTTTGTCGCACTCAGTGCTGGAATTGCTGTTTTGCCTGCAAATAGCTTTTTCACTGACTGCTGTGAGCCACTAGTTTAACGTACTCCTCTCAATTCATGTTTACTTATCATGAGTTAATAATAGTCTTTCTGAGTTAAATATTTATAACTATGCGTGTACTATTATCGGTGGATTCTTCTCACAATATGCAGTACAAAATTCAATTCGTCAAAATATCAGCTTGATCGCCATTTTTCGTCTTGCATATTACAGCTGTTGACAACACGCTTATCGGCGCATCTGTGTCGAATTGCAGCCAAGTGTCTTGCATCGCTGAAGGAGGTACATTTGTAAATGTTCAAATCGCCTTCCAAGCAAGTAAGGAAGTATTTCAATATATCCAAAATTATGCCAAAAATTTCCCATTTGGATAAACATTAATGGTATCCATTGTTGAGAAATGTGTAACTTCATTGCATACCACATGACCTTGATTTAACTTCCTTAACAAATTTACATTTCTGAACTGAAAATAAGCAACGTGAATAACAGAGAAGTAAGGCGAAACAATGGCACGACCGCACAACCAGCTACAATTGTGACAATTAAGTACCTGATCTGAAGTGTTGCGCTTGAATTTAAAAGTACCAACTCTGGGTTTAAATTTTAGGAGTCCACACATCATCTGATTACATTTGTTCATCATTTGTGCTTAGAAAGAATCGTTCGTTCTGGGAAGGCGAAACTTTGCCTCAGCGACCCACAGTTGAAGATTTGCTTACGCGAAGTTGCAGACATAAGCGATATCTGCGACTTCATTGATCCTGGATGTCCGCTGCAACAAGGGGGTGTATACACGTATAAGAGGAGTTTCTTCGCACCGGATGTCTCGGTACGTATTTACTTGTACCGATTGTTGCATTTGGCTGTTTATTTGATGCTGAGGAGCCAAATGTATTGTTTGACTACTGCTGCTCATTTTGTGATATTTTTACGACAACGGCAAGTAAACAACTCATTTCCAATTTCAGATGAAAGGCGAACCTACGTTCAAGCTTTATGACGAGGAATGCAACGTGCTTGCATGCGTACAGGCTAAAGCAGAAATTGGATCAAAGAATAAGGACATTCCGCAAATTCTGTTCACTGACGACAGCTATCCATGCGGCGGCAAATGAAAATATATGTTTCGCTGATCTTCCCTACACTTTTGTGTTTTTGTGCCGGAAATTACATGAATGCAAAAATAGCAAAATCTAACCAATACATATGCATCTAAAGTTTCGTGTCTTTTAATGGTTAAGAAATGGGCAAGCGCTTATTGCATAGTCAAGATGCGTAACCTCACTATTTTGACATATAGACCACAGATAATCTGAGCTGTCGCTTTGAAAGACCTCATGTTTAATGATCTTCGGTGCGCGTGTTTTGTCGCATTTTAGTGAAGGTATATTTGCCAGTGAAACTTTCGTTTAATAGCGTGACCGAGTTAGGTTCAACCAAATCTTAGGAGACAAAATTACATTCATTACGCTCTGCACGGTTTAGCAATTACCTCAAGTGAACCTGCATATCTGATCGAAACTATCCATATGCTATGCCAATGGCTTTTACCCCAATGTATGCAGCAAAGTCAATTGTTCAGAGCGTAAAAATGATTGAGTGCTGGATGTTAAGCCCGCAATGTAATATTGGTTATAATGTTTTGGTATATTGTTAGGTGTCAGTGGGATATTAGTAGAATCCGTAAACCTCCATTTGCGTGCGAATTTCAGGAATACGGAGAAACTTTAGAGCGTCTCTAATGAACTTGGGTTAATAAGAGTCCCATCAATTGGGAACAGATAATCGAGAGATGATGGTGGTCTGTTAGGGTGACCCAAATGATAAGTGTATGAAAAGGAATGTGAAGTAAACAAGAACGTGAACGATCGGTGGCTGCAAAGAGCAATGGAATTTAGTTTGGAATATACGGAATGTGCAAAGGTTTCACGTTCTGTAATATGTTCACATAGTTGAATCAATGGAATAATGGTTTAATACCAATGATTGTGCGACTGTTTTACAGGTTCATTAGGATAGTTTTGGGGAATGTTACAAATGCAAAAATATTTAGCAAAATTTTGTTTACACCGGTGAACTCCCTGAAGTGTACGTAGTATAAAATAAATGCAGCATAAATCCCTAACGAATGATGGCAGATGGAATTTTTAAAGTGTTCCTATTCGATTCAGGAGTATGTTATTGTGCGAGAAATATACTTTTCGCCTCATACTTGTAATCCATAAGCATCTTTTTCGCGCATTGGCTTACCTTTGACGCAAATAGGATGTTGGTAAAAATTGTCTCTCCTCCTAACGTTTACATACAGGAGGCGAAAAATTGGAACAAAAGCTGGGACCGACATTGAAATCTCTTACACACGCTTGTGTTTATCCATGGGTAATGATTCATGTAATATGGCGCAACGAAATACATGCACGGTCATTCTGATGTAATTGTGCCCATAAATCGGAGACAAGGTCAAAACATAACTGCTGACAAAATCTGGTTTGTAACCCGGACGGTTAATCCCATCCGGCTTACGAGACGTTAGAGATAATTAGAGCAGTTTAGGTCTCTTTTTTGGAAGGTGATTAAACACTTAATTATTTACACTGCAAAAGCTAAAAGGGTGGCACAATGAAAGACACCACTTGACGACCGGCGAATTAGGGTTAGTAAAAGACTTAGGCATTTAATTATGTCTGTGGCCTGAAAGCGTCGTGGATCAGATACGAATAATATTCGTGACGGATAGGCTCGAGAAGTTGTTATCCGTACTAACAAAGGAAGATCCAGATAAAACGCAAAAGTTTGATTACCGGAGGAGACTATGAATTAAGCATGTAAATATATAAACAAATATTTACTCTTGACAAAGCGAGGCACGACTTTTTGGCATGTATAAAGCGAGGAATTGGGAATTCTGCATTCAGAATTCTACAGACAGTTAATGAATATAGTCAGAAATTCGTCGAATGTAGGTTCACTCCGACAGCCAGTACAAGGCTGGAAAAGCAATGTACGCGCGTTGCATCCTTTCGACAATCGTCAGCGGTGTGAATTACATCGGACCCTTGTACGGCCCGAATCGGATGTGGAATGCGCCCAGTCCGCGGTAAAGACAATTGATCTAATGGAGACCAAAATCCATCATCATTTATGAAACAACGGAACAATGGTTTTATAGTGGGAATAAATCTAATGCTCAACATGTCCCTTATGACATGCACAGTATAAACATCGTTATCCAAATCGGGTTTTCATCGGTGAACTCAATGAAGTGTACCTAGTTTAGAGTGTACGTCCAAGGTAAATCCATAAGAAATGACGGCAAACAGGATGTTGGTAAAATTCCTTTCTCCTCCTAATACACACATACAGGAAGCAAAAATGTGGAACGAAATCTAGGACCTCCAGTGATATCTCTTACAGACACTTGTGTTTATCTATGGGTAATTTTTCTTGAAATATGGTGCAGCGAAATCATTGCACGGTCAAATTTGGTTTGAACTCTTCTATCGTAGCAACGCATGTGAGAAATTCCGTTTGGGCGTTCCATGTCCTAAAAAGGCGAAAGGAAAAGAAATTATGGCGGCATTCCAAAATATTGTGCTGTACGGCCAGTTAGAAATGGTGCCCACTCAATTTTCTGTTTTGACTGAGCGCAAGCAAATAGCGGCACATTTGGTTGGGATCTCCAAAAATCAGGTAATTTAACTTAAGGTCCCCGCGCGATCGCCGATACTGTCCGTGAAAGACGCCGAGAATATGTAGTCTCCGTTCATATGGCAAAATATACAAACCCTTGATATTTTCTGTTACCCGGCGTTGTGGTGTCTCCAAGCTGTTAACATCACACCTCAGATATGTTTGCCAGAACTTTAGTTTTTATTCCGCAGGTTTCCTAATGGTTGAGCCACAGGTTTGTTAAAAAATTGAAGGGTCAGATCACGCAAACGCACAGTGCAAGTGGCCCACGTGTTGGATGCCCCTTCTTGGTGACATTACAGCTTGATACTAACATCTATGAACAAAAGCGCTTAGATACCTCTCGCTTAAAGAAATTAGAAGCTTCCAGTTACCGAGTTTCCAGGGGTATACCAACTTGTGTCGCAGATGCAGCACCCTACCTTTGTCCACCTTGATTTGAACTACCTTCTGAATTGACCACGCGTATACTCTATTTAGATCGGCTTGAAGTACTGTGATATCATCTGGTGTATTTATCGCGCTGCACAGCTTGATGTCGTTGGCATAAAGCAGACACTTCTAGTTTAAGTGTGATACGGTTACTAAACGGCAGACATATTCGCGGTCTAAATAATT